CACACACACACACACACACACACACACACACACACACACACACACTGAGGGAAGGGAAGGGAATTTTCAGGGGGAAGCGTCAAGCCATTAGACTATGACAAATTAGATGTTCACAATACATAACAAAGAACAAGAGAACATGTATGAAAAAAAAAGTTCGAGAGTCATTCATTTATTCATTCATCGAGTCATTCATTCATTCATTCATCGAGTCATTCAGCCACAACCAGCGGCTGGAAAGGCGGGCTCCAATAGCTGAAGCTCGACCTTACAATAGGTGAATATACTCCTATTTATGATAGCTGTGTTAATATAACTAGCAGAATACTGTTACTAGTCATCTACTGTGGGGGTTCCGCTTTTGTGGTCCCGGGTTTGAGGCTCCGATGGTCCAAGAAATAGTGAAATAAAGAAATAGTGAATGAAATAGTAGATAACTATTAAATGTAGTTGTAGCGACAAATTATTCCTTGTATAATGGTCTGCTACTTGTATTGTTAAAATACAACTGCTAGTTGTATTAGTCTCTTAGTACAGGGACACCTGCGGCACAGCAATACAGCAATACATTATTATCAAACTACTGTATTACTAACGACAGAGGCCCGACACCGACTAGCAGCATGAGCAGTAACAACGGCAAATTCCGCCATTAACAGCGAGAAGTGAAGCCGTTTCACCGATCACCCGTTACAACGGAAACGGACAACAGTGGTGGCGCCGCGAGAAGCATCTCAGAGGGACATTGAAGGCATCAACAGGTAGACTCGAACCCCTCACCCACTTGCTACACAACACGTCCCGGAATGAAACACAGGAACCATCGCGTGCTGGAGCATCTGTCGGCCTTTTCTAAATCACCGGCGTCTTTCCTTGTCTATCAAGTCCCTCCTGCCTTAGTTCACGGTGGTGAGAGCGAGCTCCATAATCACCTTACCCGTCCACCAGCGTGCCAGAGCCGGTCCCACGCTCCCCCGTAATCAAAGCTCTAATAAACATCACTCTCAGCTCCGCGCGGAAAAAGGGGGGGGGGGGGGGGGGGATGTGGAAAGAATGCGGTGAGATTATGAATAGAACGAATTCGTGCGAATATATTTAACGAAACGAACCAACGACCATCGCCGGCTGTTAAGCTCTCCACGACACACAACTCAACTCTGTCTATCCTCATTACTTCTGCCAATTGCTGTATCGCATCCTGCGTCATGACCATGCAGCAGCAGCAGCAGCAGCAGGAGCAGCAGTAAGCAGCAGCCGTAGAAAGGTTTCTGCTGTTGCTTCTGCACCATCTTCATTAGCACCATCAATATCAACAGCTCAAGAAACGGTTATTTTCAGGTCAGTTATTCTCAGGGTTCACACGCTCGTTCTGAACGCGTGTTAACGCATGCGTGCATACACACGCACAAACACCCGCACTTGCACACGCACTTGCACACGCAAGCGTTCAAGAAGACATCTTTCCACACACACACACACACACACACACACACACACACACACACACACACACACACACACACACACCACACACACACACACACACACACACACACACACACACACACACACACACAGCCCCGCTTGCGTGACTGCCGGTAATGAGTGATGGACCACATCCAACAAACGTGCCTTGCAAGAAGTCTTGAGGTGAACAACTGCAATAATCCCCTATTGGAGTACTGGACAAGTATTCAACCAGTACTCAGTGGAGTTTGGATGAGTACTCCCCATGTACTCAGTGGAGTTTGGATGAGTACTCCCCATGTACTCAGTGGAGTTTGGATGAGTACTCCCCATGTACTCAGTGGAGTTTGGATGAGTACTCCCCATGTACTGAAATTGCAATCAAACACAAGGACCAGGCGATAGGTGCGGGTACCAGGTGACACAAGGGGCAGGGGTCAAGATGAGAGGACACATTGGGTGGGGTCAGGGGATGGGAGACATGGAGTGGGGTCAGAAAGAGGAGAAACAAAGGGGGTGAGGGCGAGAGGGCACAAAGGGGGAGGGTTCAGGGCGTGGGGGAGACACAAGTGAAATCTGAACCCCTGTATGAACCTTTATATCAATAAAACAGAATGTCTGTTCGTCTATTCCAGTCTGGAGGTCAAGGGCCAGATTCACGAAAGCACTTACGCAAGCACTTACGAACGTGTCCATCTTTCCTCAATCTTTGACGGCTTTGGTTACATTTATTAAACAGTTTACAAGCATGAAAACTTCCCAATCAACTGTTGTTATTGTTATAAACAGCCTCCTGGTGCTTCGGAGCTCATTAACTTTAATAATTGGGAACAAAGCCGCCAAAGATTGAGGAAAGATGTATAGGTTCGTAAGTACATGCGTAACTGCTTCGTGAATCTGGCCCCTGATGCTTAAACTTTGTAGGGTGACTGGAGGCTGTGGGGTGGACGGGTCTGTCATAGGCGCCTGGAGTGGACAGCGCTTCGGATTCGTAGTCCTGAGGTTCCGGGTTCGATCCCCGGTGGAGGCGGAGACAAAGGGGCAAAACGTTTCTTTCATCCCTGATGCCCCTGTTACCTAGCAGTAAATAGGTACCTGGGAGTTAGACAGCTGCTACGGGCTGCTTCTTGGGGGGATGGGGGTGTAACAAAAAGGAGGCCTGGTCGAGGACCGGGCCGCGGGGACGCTAAGCCCCGAAATCATCTCAAGATAACCTCAAGATAGGCGGGGCGTGTTTGGCTGTTATTGTTGTATTAAATTCAGCTACTGGGAACAAAAAGTTCCAAGTAGCACGGGCTATGGTGAGCCCGTAGTGGACTTACAGCCCCGCTCCTATGCCAGATAACTGATGTCGTGTTCGGCTCCCTTTATGAAGTCGGTAGAAATGAAATGTTCGACGCCGAGTCCGTAGACTTCTATCTTTGTCGTATTACAAAATTTAGATATTCACATGCAAATAGTAAGTTCTAATGGCAAATTTTTATTCTGGGATTGACCCGGCCACCGCCGGGTACCCCCAGGTAGTACCACACTGGACATGATAACTACATACACGATTCTAACGGAAGTACAGATGTTGATGAAGTAACCCCCTAAACTATGTGAACACGACATGCAGGAAGAGTATCATTCCATTACCTAACCGACAGCTGCAAAGACGGGGGCTAAGGAGCTGAAGTTCGACCCACCAATGGAGTGCACACCTACACAAACCCACGAACTAAATGATGACTATTACACCCCATTTGGTGGCTCTACCTGTGCACTCGTTGTCCTCACTAACGATGACAAGATAATGTCTGATGACCCAGGTAACGAGAGGGTAATGGATGGTAGGGTGAGAGAGGTGAGGGAGGGAGGGAGGGAGAGAGGGAGGGAGAATTGAGCAGAGAGGGAGAGCAAGTGTGTGGGAGGGGGGGAGGGGGATTGAAAGGGGGGATTCAAGTTAGCAAGAGAAAAAGAGTTCGTCGGGAGAGTGTGGGATCGGAGGGATAGTGAAGGTGGGTGAGAGTGAGGTTGTCTTGGAAGGGAGGGAAGAGAGAGGGAGAGAGAGAGAGAGGGTGGCTAAAGGGATGAAAAGAGGGAAAGGGGTCGATAGGTGTAGAGTCAGGACAGGAGGTGACGAGATGAGTGACAGGTTAAGTCATCTGAGGCTTGGAGAGGTGTGACTGCTTGGGGGGAGGGGGAGGCACAAGTTAAAGAGGAGGGTAGGGAAGTTAGGAGGGGGAAGTGGAGGAGGAAGGGAAGGGGAGGAGGAAGGGAAGGGGAAGTAGGAGGTGCATGTGGAGGGAACGTGAGGGAAGATGAGGATGGAGGGAAGAGGAGGGTGGAAGAAAGGTAAGGGTAGAGAAGAGGCTGGGGAGGAATGAGTAATTATCTCCTCTGGCACCGCATCACCCACGTCACTGGCACCATATAAACCCACAACTCATCTCCCGCGGCATCAGGTATGCCAGTTTTGCCTCCCTTCCAAACATGAAGAATCAAACCGGAGGGGACAACATCATGTGGCCCAACAATACCACGATATCTCCTAACAGTGTGAAAGGCTTTTTATTTGGCTACCGTTACCTGTGGTGCGTGGCTACAGGTGTCGAATTCCATAATTCTAAATGTCCAGTCATTAGATCCTTCAGACCAACTGATGAGGTACCTGGGATTTAGTAATTACTTTATTACCTCTCGTGTTATTGATGATATCCTCATAATGCATCCAAAGTCTGCCAGCCCAAGGTACTGATCACACGGCCCTGTATGACTAACCATCCTGCGAAAAGGGGACTTTAGAACTGCATAGCTGGCTCTTGACACACCCTATGTAACCCTACATATGACCAGGTGCCTTAGTATGTTAGGAGGGGTGAATAGGACATGGAAGGGATGGAATGGGTGGGTGGAAGAGAGCGTGGGAGGGTGCTAGGGATGGGTCGGATATGATAATGGGGGTTACAAGTGTGTGGGCGGGTGAGAGGTGTTAATTCGAGTTATAAATGGCTGGGAGTTAATAGCATGGGGGGGAAGGTAGGGGTAACAAGCAGGTGAGTGGGTGATGAGTAGGTGGAAGGGAAGTGAAAATGGGGGTTGTAAGTGGGTAAGGTGGGGAGGAGTTAATGGGGGGGGGAGGTGGGTTAAATGGGGGAAGAGGGAACTATCATGAGAAATCATCCATTACGACTATACAGCACTTGGAATGGGTCAGGATAAGGATTTGGGATGGGACGGGGGTGGGGAGGGGGGAAGGAAGGAATGGTGCCCAACCACTTGTGGACGGTCGGGGATTGAACGCCGACCTGCATGAAGCGAGACCGTCGCTCTACCGTCCAGCCCCAAGTGGTTGCCAGCGGGTAACGGAAGAAAGCATGAAATAGCGATGGATGGTGATGGGATGATAATGTATGGATGATGATGGGTGGATGGTGGATGGTGTGGGTGGATGGTTGTGGGTGGATGGTTGTGGATGGATGGTTGTGGGTGGATGGTTGTGGATGCATGGTTGTGGATGGGATGAACACCAATGAACACTAAACATCCACGTATCTTCATATAGGGGCGACCACGTGTCTTCATATAGGGACGACCACGTGTCTTTATATAGGGACGACCACGTGTCTTCATATAGGGACGACCACGTGTCTTCATATAGGGACGACCACGTGTCTTCATATAGGGGCGACCACGTGTCTTCATATAGGGACGACCACGTGTCTTTATATAGGGGCGACCACGTGTCTTCATATAGGGACGACCACGTGTCTTCATATAGGGACGACCACGTGTCTTTATATAGGGACGACCACGTGTCTTCATATAGGGACGACCACGTGTCTTCATATAGGGACGACCACGTGTCTTCATATAGGGACGACAACGTGTCTTCATATAGGGACGACCACGTGTCTTCATATAGGGACGACCACGTGTCTTCATATAGGGACGACCACGTGTCTTCATATAGGGGCGACCACGTGTTTTCATATAGGGTCGACCACGTGTCTTCATATAGGGACGACCACGTGTCTTCATATAGGGGCGACCACGTGTCTTCATATAGGGACGACCACGTGTCTTCATATAGGGACGACCACGTGTCTTCATATAGGGACGACCACGTGTCTTCATATAGGGACGACCACGTGTCTTCATATAGGGGCGACCACGTGTCTTCATATAGGGGCGACCACGTGTCTTCATATAGGGACGACCACGTGTCTTCATATAGGGACGACCACGTGTCTTCATATAGGGACGACCACGTGTCTTCATATAGGGGCGACCACGTGGCTTCATATAGGGGCGACCACGTGTCTTCATATTGGGACGACCACGTGTCTTCATATAGGGGCGACCACGTGTCTTCATATAGGGGCGACCACGTGTCTTCATATAGGGGCGACCACGTGTCTTCATATAGGGACGACCACGTGTCTTCATATAGGGGCGACCACGTGTCTTCATATAGGGGCGACCACGTATCTTCATATAGGGACGACCACGTGTCTTTATATAGGGGCGACCACGTGTCTTCATATAGGGACGACAACGTGTCTTCATATAGGGACGACCACGTGTCTTCATATAGGGACGACCACGTGTCTTCATATAGGGACGACGTGTCTTCATATAGGGACGACCACGTGTCTTTATATAGGGGCGACCACGTGTCTTCATATAGGGACGACCACGTGTCTTCATATAGGGACGACCACGTGTCTTCATATAGGGACGACCACGTGTCTTTATATAGGGGCGACCACGTGTCTTCATATAGGGACGACCACGTGTCTTCATATAGGGGCGACCACGTGTCTTCATATAGGGGCGACCACGTAGCTGCCACGACAGGGACTAAGTCCCACGTGTTCCCACGTGTCCCCACTCACGTGGCCCCACGTAGCTGCCACGACAGGGACCAAGTCCCACGTGTTCCCACGTGTCCCCACTCACGTGGTCCCACGTGTCCCAACGCACGTGGTCCCAGTGTCCCCGAGCACCCCGGGGTTCAATACTCGATGCGCTGGTGACTAGACAAGTACGAAAAATGTGAGTGATTGAGTTACGGAACAAATGAACCTTTTATACTTTAATTGTTCTGGCTGCGGGGTGCCTGCCATTCTCGACCTCACTGGGCCTGCTGCTGCTGCTGCTGCTGCTGCTGCTGCTGCTGCTGGAGCAGTGTTGTCAGGTGTGGACTAGTAGACAAGAGGGGATAAAACACCTGTGGTTAGTGCTAACTATATATACACAGCCTGAGAGATAGAGAAGAGACGCTGTGCCTCTGAGAAGGGGCAAAGTTAAGGTCGCTAAGACAGAGCTTCCAGTCTTATTTGTTAGCTTTTGGTTCACTCAGGGGGGGGGGGGAGAATAATTAAGTAATAACTGGAGGGAGAAGTGGAGGGGGGGGGGGGAGGACTAACTGGAGGGCTCGAAACTGTTTGTTTTGAGGGAGAAGTGAAGGAGGGAACCACAAATTTGGAGGGAGGGAGAGTGAGGGAAGGATAGGAAAGGCAAGGATGTGGAGGGAGTAAGAGGTAGGGAAAGTAAGGAAGGAGTGAGAGTGTGTGATAGGGATGTGGGGGAAGGGGAGGAGGGGGTGTAGGGATGGGGTAGGGGGGGAGGAGGTAGTCACACTCACGTCTCCTCAGCGCCACACTGCTCTTCACACTTCACACTCCACCACTAGGGGCTGACACTGCAGAACACAGGGTTAATGACACCAGCTGTGGGACGCAATCTCAATGAACGCGAAGGAAGGAATGAAGGAATGAATGAAGGAAGGAAGCCCCCAGGGGTATAGTGCTCACCTGTGTCCCATATTGACCCATTGCCCCCACCCCCCTTCCCCTGGGTTGAGGCATATACTCTCAATATACTAACTGAACACATGAGATACTGAAACTATGCATCAGGAGTTACTATGTCATGACACAACTGTGTAATATATGTGAGGTAATTACAACTATGAGCTTGTCAAGCACTTGAATCACCTCTTGTGCTTGAGTGCTCAATAACTCACAATGTAATGTAGTATCTCTCTTGCACTGTTAATGTCGGAGAGACGGAAGTATAACTTGCTGGTTAGAATATTAATTTGCCATTGTAAAAAGCACTTCAATCACATTCTGCAGTTGAGTGTCTATCCCTGTCTATGTAGGGCAGACGTAGAGACGTGTATTGAAAAGCACTGTAAACGCACTTTCAATCGACTGTGTTAGATACATAAAGAGATATTAACTAGTCAAAGAGACCGGGCCGCGGGGACGCTGATCCGTGGAACCATCGCGAGTTAACCGCCAGGAACCAGATTCACGAAGCAGTTACGCAAGCACTTACGAGCCTATACATCTTTTATCAATCTTTGAAGGCTTTGTTTACATTTACTAAACAGTTTACAAGCATGAAAATTTCCCAATCAACTGTTGTTATTGTTATAAACAGCCTCCTGGTACTTCGGAGCTCATTAACTGTTTAATAATTGTAAACAAAGCCGTCAAAGATTGAGGAAAGATGTACACGTTCGTAAGTACTTGCGTAACTACTTCGTGAATCTGGCCCCAAGATGGTAAGAACATTAGTCTCCTCCTCCATCATCTGACACGCAGCCACTCGACCTGATATATAGAAGTTCATGGTCATCATGGTACAGGGGCCTCGTAGCCTGGTGGATAGCGCGCAGGACTCGTAATTCTGTGGCGCGGGTTCGATTCCCGCACGAGGCAGAAACAAATGGGCAAAGTTTCTTTCACCCTGAATGCCCCTGTTACCTAGCAGTAAATAGGTACCTGGGAGTTAGTCAGCTGTCACGGGCTGCTTCCTGGGGGTGGAGGCCTGGTCGAGGACCGGGCCGCGGGGACACTAAAAAGCCCCGAAATCATCTCAAGATAACCTCAAGATAGATCTTCCAGTATGAATTGAGGAACATCACACCAAGAAGTGTTGTGGTTTCTTATCTATACATACCAGGGGCCAGATTCACGAAGCAGTTACCCAAGCACCTACGAACCTGTACATCTTTTCTCAATCTTTGGCGGCTTTGGTTACAATTCTTATCTTAAATTCATTTCTGATCTTATCAATTCTTATCTGATCATGGTTCTTATCCCAAGATCAGTTTAATAAAAGTAAATAATGAGCGAGTAAAGGTCTGAGGTACCAGGAAGGTCTGAGACGCCTCCAGCCAGGGTCTAAGGCTCCCAGGAAGTGACTGAACAAACACACAAGCCAGGAGAGCAAGAACATCCCAGGAAGTGACTGAACAAACACACAAGAGAGAGCAAGAACATCCCAGGAAGTGACTGAACAAACACACGAGAGAGCAAGAACACCCCAGCAAGTGACTGAACAAACACACAAGAGAGCAAGAACATCCCAGACAGTGACTGAACAAACACACAAGAGAGCAAGAACATCCCAGACAGTGACTGAACAAACACACAAGAGAGCAAGAACACCCCAGCAAATGACTGGACAAACACACAACAGCCCGAGCATAACTGGCATAAAAACCGACAGGCTGGCAAGTCAGTCGAGTTCCTGGATTGTGTTTCTATTAAATACATTAACGACGCTGCGGCTTTAATTAACGGCCCGTGTGATGATGTTTTCGGACGTGCGCGCGTGACGGGGACCACGTGCAGCCACCACCACGTGCCCCACTTCCGGGCTCGCTGGAGACCAGGAAGGAGAGAGAGAGAGAGAGAGAGAGAGAGAGAGAGAGAGAGAGAGAGAGAGAGAGAGAGAGAGAGAGAGAGAGAGAGAGAGAGAGAGAGAGAGAGAGAGAGAGAGAGAGAGAGAGAGAGAGAGAGAATAATGAAACACATGCGAGCAATAAACATTATCACACAAGTGACTTTTATCACCTAAACCCGTGATATACCGAAGCATATACCGAAGCATATATATATATATATATATATATATATATATATATATATATATATATATATATATATATATATATATATATATATATATATATATATATATATTGCGGAATTCTGTCAAACAAAGTGCCGTTGAAGAGACACTGTTTACCTAGTACTCCCCAGAGTGGAGCTGTTCTGAGCCGTGAGGCTTACAAGGGTGTTGAAGAAATCCCGCGAGTGTTTTGTAAATCTCTCCACTCTGTCCATCTCAATCAACTTCTTTTCGCCTAAAATCATGCATGCGAGTGAATAAACAAATAAGACCAAAGTCACCTGCTTTAGGGAGGGAAAAAACAGATAAATACATAAGTAATGGAGAATGAAGGCTAGATACAGACTATTGTATATGAGTGTTCACACACACACACACACACACACACACACACACACACACACACACACACACACACACACACACACATTAAGGAACCGTAAAACATCTTGTGCTGGACAGCGATATGGTGCGAGCGAGCCTGGAACGACGAACCATTCTTGTGTACCTTGAACCGCCGTGTGTGTGTGTGTGTGTGTGTGTGTGTGTGTGTGTGTGTGTGTGTGTGTGTGTGTGTGTGTGTGTGTGTGTGTGTGTGTGAGTGTGTGTGTGTGTGTGTGTGTGTGTGTGTGTGTGTGTGTGTGTGTGTGTGTGTGTGTGTGTGTGTGTGTGTGTGTGTGTGTGTACACAACTGGCGATCCTCATGAGAAATGTACAATTACTCTCCCGTGTATGTTTATTGAGACAAGAAAAAAAAATACATCTCAAAGGGATAAGGGAATCAAATTTCTGCTTTTAAGTTCCATTAGATTTTTTGTTCATGACAACGACACGTGTTGAGGGAATACTGATAACCCCGCATGGCAACGACAGGTGTTGAGGGAATACTGATAACCCCGCATGGCAACGACAGGTGTTGGGGGAATACTGATAACCCCGCATGACAACGACAGGTGTTGAGGGAATACTGATAACCCCGCATGACAACGACAGGTGTTGGGGGAATACTGATAACCCCGCATGGCAACGACAGGTGTTGAGGGAATACTGATAACCCCGCATGGCAACGACAGGTGTTGAGGGAATACTGATAACCCCGCATGGCAACGACAGGTGTTGAGGGAATACTGATAACCCCGCATGGCAACGACAGGTGTTGGGGGAGTTAAAAAGTTATAAGTTATGAAAGGAGTTATAACTGATCATCCCAGGCTCTATATTATTATTATTATTTTTGGATGGCTTTATGTCTGAACTTGAGTCTATGTCTTCTCGGCCTACCGAGAAGACATAGACCCACTCTTCGTCAACTTTCTATTCTCAATATTTTCTCAATCTCCCCCAATGGATATCTTTTCGGAGAAGACCTTCCTCCGCCCTAAAGTCGTCTCTGATGTCCCCCCGTGCAGCGGAACCGTCGCGAGAGACAGTCATCATCCTGGGCCAAGTGAGATGTCACTCCCAAGTGAGATGTCACTCCCAAGTGAGATGTCACTCCCGCTATCACTGCCGGCTATACACAAGTGCCGGGGATTTATATCCTCCGGGGGGGGGGGCACAAGAACGCTGGTGTCTGTAGCGGGTGATTTCATCAGCTGAAGCGAGTGACAAATTATTTCACTCAACAGTTTTAGGGGGCCCTCGGTGCCAAAGGTAAAATGAAGGGTAAAGAGAAGCGTTACTTAGCACGGAAGGTTTGTGTCTGGCTTATAACCGTTGGGATGTTCCAGTCTATTTATAACATGCTGGATAACTGTGTTCTTCCGTCATATTGGGCTGTCTGGTAGTTCTCCCCCTGTCAGACCTGTATGTGTGGAGCGTTATAGCTTTGGCAACAGAGATTGGGGGCTCCGTTCAATTTTCTTCTTGATACATACTGATTTAGATGATTTGATCATGATATATTTGAGTTTAGATGATTTGCTCATGATATATTTTTCCTTGCTTTGATCATGATATATTTGAGTTTAGATGATTTGCTCATGATATATTTTTGCTTGTTTTGATCATGCTTTGATCATGATATATTTGAGTTTAGATGATTTGCTCATGATATATTTTTGCTTGCTTTGATCATGCTTTGATCATGATATATTTGAGTTTAGATGATTTGCTCATGATATATTTTTCCTTGCTTTGATCATGCTTTGATCATGATATATTTGAGTTTAGATGATTTGCTCATGATATATTTTTCCTTGCTTTGATCATGCTTTGATCATGATATATTTGAGTTTAGATGATTTGCTCATGATATATTTGAGTTTAGATGATTTGCTCATGATATATTTTTGCATGCTTTGATCATGCTTTGATCATGATATATTTGAGTTTAGATGATTTGCTCATGATATATTTTTCCTTGCTTTGATCATGCTTTGATCATGATATATTTGAGTTTAGATGATTTGCTCATGATATATTTTTGCTTGCTTTGATCATGCTTTGATCATGATATATTTGAGTTTAGATGATTTGCTCATGATATATTTTTCCTTGCTTTGATCATGCTTTGATCATGATATATTTGAGTTTAGATGATTTGCTCATGATATATTTTTCCTTGCTTTGATCATGCTTTGATCATTTGAGTTTAGATGATTTGCTCATGATTTGAGTTTAGATGATTTGCTCATGATATATTTTTGCTTGCTTTGATCATGCTTTGATCATGATATATTTGAGTTTAGATGATTTGCTCATGATATATTTTTGCTTGCTTTGATCATGCTTTGATCATGATATATTTGAGTTTAGATGATTTGATCATGATATATTTTTGCTTGCTTTGATCATCATGGTCATGATATATTTGAGATGATGATCTATACATGAACAACATCATGGTGAGTTATATTGGAGATGGTATCTATACAAACAAGATGGGAAACCTACTTTTGTTTATCTCAACTAGGTTGTTCGCGGTTGTTGTCTTGAAGTTCCTCCTGTCTTGCAAGAGAAGTTCTCAAGTGCTGGAAAAGCAGACATTGAATCCTCTTATTTGTAGTGAACTGGTAGTTAATTATAGTGTAGTTACTTCAGTTAGCACGGCGTTCAGCCAGTTCCTTAGCCTCACACTTGATAGTTTGTGTGTAAGAATTGTTACTACAAAACCGAGGTCGTGGTAGTAGTGGTGGTTGTCGCGGCAGTGATAGTTCTGGTGATGACTGTCATGCCAGAGTTGTAGTGGTGGTTGTGGTGATGACTGTTGTACAACTGGTGGTGATAGTGGTCGTCAGTGTGATGACTGTACCAGAGGAGGAAGATGGTGGTGGTGGTGGTAGTCGTGGTGGGGTGATAACTGTAGTCCCAGAGGTGGTGGTGGTGGTGGGGGTGATGACTGTGGTGGTGGTGGTAGTCGTGGTGGGGTGATAACTGAGAGGTGGTGGTGGTAGTCGTGGTGGGGTGATAACTGTAGTCCCAGAGGTGGTGGTGGTGGTGGGGGTGATGACTGTGGTCCCAGAGGTGGTGGTGGTAGTGGTAGTCGTGGTGGGGGTGATGACTGTGGTCCCAGAGGTGGTGGTGGTAGTGGTAGTCGTGGTGGGGGTGATAACTGTAGTCCCAGAGGTGGTGGTAGTAGTGGTAGTCGTGGTGGGGGTAATGACTGTTGTCCCAGAGGTGGTGGTGGTAGTGGTAGTCGTGGGGGGGTGATGACTGTGGTCCCAGAGGTGGTGGTGGTAGTCGTGGTGGGGGTGATGACTGTAGTCCCAGAGGTGGTGGTAGTAGTGGTAGTCGTGGGGGATGATGACTGTGGTCCCAGAGGTGGTGGTGGTGGTAGTCGTGGTGGGGTGATGACTGTGGTCCCAGAGGTGGTGGTGGTAGTCGTGGTGGGGGTGATGACTGTGGTCCCAGAGGTGGTGGTGGTGGTAGTCGTGGTGGGGGTGATGACTGTGGTCCCAGAGGTGGTGGTGGTAGTGGTAGTCGTGGTGGGGGTGATAACTGTAGTCCCAGAGGTGGTGGTAGTAGTGGTAGTCGTGGTGGGGGGTGATAACTGTAGTCCCAGAGGTGGTGGTGGTAGTGGTAGTCGTGGTGGGGGTGATGACTGTGGTCCCAGACGTAGTATAGCGTTAACGGAGTCACGCTTCGCGCTCGTCTCAACATCAACTAATTGCCAGCCGTAAACAACTGCGCTCTGCCGCGCAATCGCAACATCACAACCATCTTCAATTGTCTGTCGCATTCGTCTTCATTATGCGAGGAAGCGTGAGCCATCTCAAAATAAAGATCGTGGTCGCCTTTCTTCAAAATCACCGTCGACGAACTAATAACCCTGAGAAGCCTATGGCGACTACCTATAGCTTTGCGACCGTGTGGTCACCCGCTCCAAGGGCCATAATGCCTTGGTCCAAACCACCCTCAGGGTCGTAAACAACTTTTCGAGACTCTACTTCTTATTTCGCTGTATCGTAAGTGCTACGAAGCAGCCTTTTGCCAGATGGAAGACTCGCCCGAGGTCCACCTCAAGCTCGACCTTACACTAGGCTCCAACACGGCTCATTGAGGAGGACCTCTGCCTCCCCACCTGCCGCGCCGGATGAGCCTTTTGTAATACCACCCTTGCGGCCTTTGGTTGCAAGGATGGTATTAACGTGGCAGGAATCGGCACGTGACCGCATCAGGTGAGCACGCGTCTTAGGGGAAGGGGAAGGGGGGTGGGGGGTCCAGGTGATGAAGGCCAGGTGATGAGCTGCACCTATCCCGTCACCTCCGCCACCTTAAGCGCCTCTTAAAGTACTTTTCTTCGTCTTGATGATAACCGACCGCTCAGATCTCACAGGCCGAAGGTGTGTGAGCTCTGGAGAGCTGTCGTCAGGAGGTAGCGTGAGCTTGGAGAGCTGTCGTCTGGAGGTAGCGTGAGCTTGGAGAGCTGTCGTCTGGAGGTAGCGTGAGCTTGGAGAGCTGTCGTGAGTGGAGAACCGTCACCAGGAGGTAGCGTGAGGAGGTAGCGTGAGCTTGGAGAGCTGTCGTCTGGAGGTAGCGTGAGCTGAGCTTGGAGAGCTGTCGTCTGGAGGTAGCGTGAGCTTGGAGAGCTGTCGTCTGGAGGTAGCGTGAGCTTGGAGAGCTGTCGTCTGGAGGTAGCGTGAGCTTGGAGAGCTGTCGTCTGGAGGTAGCGTGAGCTCTGGAGAGCTGTCGTCTGGAGGTAGCGTGAGCTTGGAGAGCTGTCGTCTGGAGGTAGCGTGAGCTTGGAGAGCTGTCGTCTGGAGGTAGCGTGAGCTTGGAGAGCTGTCGTCTGGAGGTAGCGTGAGCTTGGAGAGCTGTCGTCTGGAGGTAGCGTGAGCTTGGAGAGCTGTCGTTAGGAGGTAGCGTGAGCTTGGAGAGCTGTCGTTAGGAGGTAGCGTGAGCTTGGAGAGCTGTCGTTAGGAGGTAGCGTGAGCTTGGAGAGCTGTCGTTAGGCGGTAGCGTGAGCTTGGAGAGCTGTCGTTAGGAGGTAGCGTGAGCTTGGAGAGCTGTCGTTAGGAGGTAGCGTGAGCTTGGAGAGCTGTCGTTAGGAGGTAGCGTGAGCTTGGAGAGCTGTCGTTAGGAGGTAGCGTGAGCTTGGAGAGCTGTCGTTAGGAGGTAGCGTGAGCTTGGAGAGCTTTCGTCACGAGGTAGCGTGAGCTTGGAGAGCTGTCGTTAGGAGGTAGCGTGAGCTTGGAGAGCTTTCGTCACGAGGTAGCGTGAGCTTGGAGAGCTGTCATCAAGAAGTAGCGTGAGCTTGCGTATCAGTGTAGCATCAGGCAGCTGACACAGCAGTATATTAATATGACTGACACGGCAAGGTAACTATCCAGGCCGCTGCAGGTCAGCCCTCACAGCAACGGTAGCGCCACTCGTGCTGTACTCGGGTATCTAGTCAGCGTTTGGCCAGAAACCAGAGTGATTGAGTGGTCCACATACGAATAATGTGTGTGTGTCGTGCCTAACAGCCAGTGTTGGGTAGCGAGGTGAATTTTCAAACACTGTATCATATACGGTGATTCGGGTATTCAAAAAGTTGTTTTTTAGCCAAAATGGGTCTTCCTCACAAGGCCAAGTAGTGTGATTCTGGGAGTGAGGGACGATATGTATGGATGTATGTGCATACATATACTTCCACAAGTTTCCACGAGCAATACAGTTTACGAGTTTCCACGAGCAATACAGTTTACGAGTTTCCACGAGCAATACAGTTTACGGGTTTCCACGAGCTCTATAGTTGGAAGACTTCGGGAAGAAGAAGGATAGTGTGAGAGAAAGGTACTGGATAGTACATCGGTTACTCACCGTGAGTCGACAGTGCCATCGTGGTTGGCAGTAACGGTGGTGCCGGCGGTACAAGATGACACCAGCCCGACCCCTGACACCAGCCCGACCCCCTGACACCAGCCCGACCCCCCTGACACCAGCCCGACCCCCCTGACACCAGCCCAACCCCTGACACCAGCCCAACACCCTGACACCAGCCCAACACCCTGACACCAGCCCAACACCCTGACACCAGCCCGACCCCCCTGACACCAGCCCGACCCCCCTGACACCAGCCCAACACCCCAACACCTAGTACCAAACCAACACACTCTCTATAATAGGTAAATCTAGCTGAAACAAAAATAATTTTATTTTACTACAAAGGTGAAATAAAACCTTCAAAATATCTAGCACGCAAAAAAAGCCTCAAAAGTGACCAACAAAACTCCACCCACCAGCCTGGGGGAGGTGACACAATTTCTGACGCCTTTTTTATAGTTTAAACCGCCGTATCTTTCATAGCCTCCCATGAATAGTTTGATAGAAAGCAGTAAAATATTACAGCGATGCTCTTATGGACGGATGGATGGCTCCCCCACCGTGCCTGGCTGCGAGACATTATTACTAATGGGGAAATGTCACACATCTTACCTTTTGTGCTCTCTGTAATCCTCCTGCGCTGCCTCTCACATCATGAGTATGGGGAGGGGTGGGGTGGTTGGGGAGGGGGGTGCACAATACACACGCTTCTTTCCCCCCTACCACCTCCTCATAGCAACAGTCACCTCATCTCCCACAGCAACTGATGCAAGATTCATCTCATCTCCCACAGCAACTGATGCAAGATTCATCTCATCTCCCACAGCAACTGATGCAAGATTCATCTTATCTCCCACAGCAAATTCTATCTGATGACACTGTTACCATCACACAACCATAGAACCCTTGATTTGTCAGCATTAAACTGCATTTGCCAATCTTTCCTGCATTTCAAGTCTAGCTAGATCGTCTGGAATCGATTTCCAGTCGCCTTCTGAATTGATTTTCAATTTTGCTTGTGTATTGTAAAGAAAATTTCCAAATAGTGCAGTTCAATCCCTTGTCTGGATCGTGTGTGTGTATATATGGTAAACATGAGAGGTTCCAAGGCAGCGCCCCGGAGCACTCCATTTTCTGTACTTTACGATTCAGAATATATTTGAAAAGATATACGGCTGTAAGGGCCAGAGCACGCCGAAAAAGCGATAACAAGGACGCTTGGCCACGACAAATTCTACGACACTTGCAGCAGCCATTCCCAGGTCGAAGCTGTGAGGAAGAGGAGGAAGAGGAAGAGGGGAAGGAGGAACAAGAGCGTGGGAAACAGTCTATCACGGTGTATATGGTCGAGTGAGTCGTGTCCCTGCCAGTCACTCCCCTAATAGCTATTTTACGTGAGGCATCGAACTCAAGCAGTGCCTCACACCCTCAGTATGTATATGTATGTGTATAAAGTACATATGGAAGCTGATCAGAATTGCATTTCACCTTTGTAAATGCACCACTTTACATAGGTTAGCTTAGCATTTTAAAGGTACCGAATCACCTTCTGTGGTTGATTCTTCAATAAATCCCTGAACTATATGTTTAACTGATCTCTAACCCTGTCCATGGAGGACAGAAGAAAATGTATATACGCTAGTTAGCATTGTAAATGTGTGGCCACGTCTGTGGTAGAAAATAATATTTAAAAAAATAAAACTCAGGCTGTGGTGTGAGGCAGTCCCTCCCTCAGGGCACCGAAACCCACATTATGAGAATAACATCAGCGGCGTATGCAAGGCTGGCAAACATATGAATTGCCTTCAGAAACTTGTGAAAGGAATCACCCAGAACCTTGTATACCTCATATATCAGACCAATACTGGAGTATGCGGCTCCAGCCTGGGGTCAGGTAGGTTCGGATAGGTTTGGTTAGATTTATATATATATGGAATAGCAATAACAGTAGAGGAGCATACATTGTTCATGAGTGGCAGACCCAACCCCGGTGGCCGGGGTCTGACGCCCACTAAACATGCAAGATGAAGGCTGCTTTGCGCAATTCACAACTTAGCATTGCGTCCAGCGAGCAGATGAGGCTGCAGGAAGGGATAGACAGGGTGGAGAGTCGTGTACTAACCAGCAGTGCGGGGGAGCCCACTCAATAACTTAAAATCAAAACAGCCTTGGATGTGGAGGGCGAGATAGCACACGACAAATGAGGTAATAGTTTAACCACGCATTGGTGAGGCTGTGGTGGAGGGGGATGCAGCCCAGGGGTGGGGGGGGGGGGGTGATGTCAAGGGAGGATAGAGTGGAGTGGTAAGGCTTGCACGCACTGAACTGGGAAGACGGGCGAATAGGTCTTCCTGATTCTCCTGTAACTCGATTCCCACAGCACCAGGCAGAAACTATGAATGGAAACAAATAGTTTCTTTCACCCTGAATGCCCCTGTTACCTAGCAGTAAATAGGTACCTGGGAGTTAGTCAGCTGTCACGGGCTGCTTCCTGATGTGTGTGTGTGTGTGTGTGTGAAAAAAAGTAGTTAGTAAACAGTTGATTGACAGTTGAGAGGCGGGCCGAAAGAGCAAAGCTCAACCCCCGCAAACACAACTAGGTGAACACACACACACACACACACACACACACACACACACACACACACACACACACACACACACGACAAAGAGTACTAGGAAGACGGGACACCAAGAAGAGTATATACATACATATATACACACATTTTTTTCACCTAATATCCCGCATCACCTAAAAGTAATTAAATATGTAACAAGGAGTTAGACAGCTGCTACTGGCTGCATCCTGGGGATGTGTGTGTGTGTGTGTGTGTGTATGTGTGTGTGTGTGTGTGTGTGTGTGTGTGTGTGTGTGTGTGTGTGTGTGTGTGTGTGTGTGTGAGAGAGAGAGAGAGAGAGAGAGAGAGAAATATATATAGATATGATAAAGTAAAAATAGGTCGAGAAATAGGTTGAGAGTCAGTACATCAGGCAACCGATGGTTAGAAAGGCGGGATCCAAGAGCTAACAGCTCGATCCTGCGGGCACAAAACCCTGCTCGTAAAACTGTCGTGGAAGTTTGAGTTAATTCAGGCCGTTCTCACGAGTTGATCGTTACAAAACAACGCCGTTCTTTTGTCCCACCAGGAACGTTTGACCTCAAGAAATCCACCTAACCCGTCTCCGTCAACAATCGGAAAATGGTAATACATTTTGCTTTCATTTTAACTAAATCCCGTAATTTTGACGGACTGGTCAATTAGGTGAAAGAGGAGAGGTTGTTGCACTATTCGCTGTCACAAAAAAAGAAATACTTATAATCACACGAATCACAGAAACAGGTGATTATATACACCATTATACACAAGTT